GCCTCGGCTGCTGGCGCTGAGCTCACCGCCCGTCACGCTGAGCAGTGGGGCGAGGGCAGGCCCCCGGTCTGCACTGGGGGAATGACTCTGTCTGCACTGGCAGGGTCCCCTCTGTATAATCCCCAGCTCCCCTCGCACAGGGCTGGTTTGCAGGCCTCTGGGGAGCCAGGAGCTGGATCAACGTACACACTGACTTCTCCCCTGGGCTGGCGTGGGGCAGTGCAGGGATCCTAGGGGCTGGGGTTTGAAAGATGGGGCAGTGCAGGAACGTCAGGGCTGGGGTTTCTGTGGGAGGGCAGTGTGGGGCTCCCAGGGAACTGGGGTTACAGACGCCACAGTATTAAATAAACCACGTTTCGCTTCCTGTCCTCTCCGGAAACCTGGGCCCTGGCGGTCTCTGCCTTTTCCTGTTTACAGCCCAAGCGAGCAAGTCAAAAGCTAGCTGGCCATGGGTCAGCGGCCGGCAGGCTGGAGCTGGGGCCTGAGGGCCAGCCCGCTCAGCAGCGCTCCAGCAGGGGTGCAGGGTACCAGCCCCTTTCCAAGTCATCCTAAGCTCCAGTCTCTCCTAATGGACTGTGCGTGAGCACCAGACCTGGCTGGGCAGAGCCTGGAATTCCTGCTAAATCCCCCCCATCTGAGCACCGGAGCAGCCCTGCGCCGTCCTGGGCACCAGCCCATCACCTGGGCCTCCGGGTGCCGTCTCCTCCTGCCAGCCCTCCTCCCGCATTGGCCCAGCTGCCTGGCTTTGTGCCCTGGAGTGCCCCGTTCCTGGCTAGGAGGAGCGGGGTGGGAGCCTCTCCAGGGCCCAGTGGCTGGGGGCTGGGGTGGGGTGAGCCCAGTACAGCTGGTTTCCATGCGCTCCCTGGCCGGGCCTTTCCCAGCTGCCAGGGGCGGCTCCGATCCGCCCTTATCTCGTGCCTGGATCCTGGGCTGGATCAGGGTGTTCTTGTGCAAACAGCCGCCCAGCCAAGCCGTGTGGCATCGGCTCGGCTGGCTCCTGGCTCGGCCCTAGGCACCTGCTACTGCTGCTTCTGAACCTGGCAGGAGAGCTCGCTGCTGGGCCCATGGCGGGGGGCAGGCTGGGGCTTGGGCAGGCGCAAGAGCTCCTCTTGAGTGGGATAAGTCTCCCAACACCGGGTGCCGAGGTGCGGCTGGCTCTGGGGGGGAATGTGAGGGCTATGTATACAGGAACCCCTCACCTGGTGCCAAGGTGCGGCTGGCTCTGGGGGGGAACGTGCGGACTGGTTATCCAGGTACTTCTGGCCCGGGGCTGGCTCAGGGCGCTAGCGCTGGGTGTGGCCTGCCTGGGGAGAGCAGTGAGGGTGGAAGGGGATGAATGATCAGGGCTGGCTCCTTGCAGGCAGCCTGCGGGGGGATGCGCTTGGTGGCCCCTGGGGCAGAGTGGGGGGCAAGGATGCAGTGCTGCCTGGCCCCCCATGACTGTCTAGCATCCTGCTAGCCAGTCATGGAGCCCAGCCGGCCCAGGCCTGGGCTGTCCCCACCTCTGGCACAGCAGTGGGAGGAGACTCAGAGCTTGGCATCTCCGAGGGCCGGGCACAGGGCCGGGCTCCTACCCCTGCTGTTTTCGGGGGAGCCGCCGGCCAGGGCCCAGAGCTGGTTCTGCTCCCAGATGGGCCCTCGGCAACAGCCCCGTGTCCCGACCCTGGCGCAGAGGGAGGGGGAAGCCCTGAGCCCTGTGCAGGTCCAGGCCCGGGTGTGACCCCCGGCGCCCCAGCACTCGGGCAGCACGTCTCTGCCTCCCCCTCCCCCCAGGCCTCATTCTTGGCTAGAAATAGCTGGGGTTTCCGGCTGTTACCATGCCAACCGCAGCCAGCTGTGCTTCTCAGGCCCGGGCTGCTCCCGGCTCCCCCCCAGGGCACCCCCTGGCGGCTCAGCCCTGCCCTAGGGGGCTGGCCCCAGCTCACCCCCTCTCTCCCCAGGGGAGCCTTCTCCGAGGTGGTGCTCGCCGAGGAGAAGACGAGCCGGAAGCTGGTGGCCATTAAGTGCATTGCCAAGAAGGCCCTGGAGGGGAAGGAGACCAGCCTGGAGAACGAGATCGCCGTCCTGCACAAGTAGGTGCTGCCGCTGCGGGCAGCGTGACTGCCGGGCTCTGCATGCGCCCGTGGGTGCAGGGCTGGCCTGGCTCACCCCCGGCCCCGCCCTTGGAGTGTGCGCCTTTGTGAGTGACCGTCCCTCCCACAGCCGGGCAGCTCCGGCTCCTGCCCCGCTGCTTGTGCCACGAGGGGCCAGAGTCTCCTCTGGCGGGTCGCTCACAGAGCTCTGCCACGCCCCTCCGGGCCAGCCACAGCCAGACATCTGGGCCCCTTATCAGAGTCTTTCTAAAAATAACCCCGGGCGGGAGCCTCGTGATGTCCCTGCCGCGCCTGAGCCAGCTGTGTCCCAGGACTCCTGGGCGAGCTGCCCGCCTGGCCAAGGCCCAGCTGCCACACCCCTAATCCCCCCGCTGCTGGGCTGGGGAGTGCAGCGGGCGACCCTCTGGCAGCAGGTTCGAGTGGGGCCTGGAGCTGCTCTGCAGGCTGGCACGGCTGGGCCCAGGGTCGGCAGGAGGAGTGGGGGTGTGTGCTGCATGGTGTGAGCCTGGGCTGGGCCGCCCCCAGGTAGGCCTGGCCGCCTGCAGAGCTGCGTTAGCTTGGGCCCCTCTGGGTCCCAGGAGCTGGGGCAGGACAGTCCTGGCCATGTGCCCTCCTGCTCCCGTGCCTGGCACCACGGGCCAGGCTGGGGAGCCTTCTGCCCCAGGGCATTCCTGCGGGGCAGGCCGCTGCCTCAGGTGGTGGGGTGCAGAGCGAGACCGAGCAGAGAGCAAAGGTGACCCCTGCGCCCCATCTCTGGTCCATGGGAGGAGACCTGTGGTGCCCAGGAGTGACCCCCTGGCTGCTCTGTGCCCCAGGATGCAGTGCCCGCAGCCCTAGGGACTGGGTGGGCCGCAGGACCTGGGGCCGGGCTGCGCTGTCTGCCCGGCCTGGCTTGGGCTGTGACGGCTGAAGCCTCTGTCCGTGGAGGAGCGAACAGCACCTCAGAGCAGGGCCTGGTGTCTGCGAAGTCTGGCTCCTTCATCGCTTCCCCTGCAGCCCCCGTCTCGCCCGCGGCCCCCCTGTCTCCAGCACCCCCATCAGCAGGCCCCCTGTCTCTCCCACAGCCCCCTAATCTCCAGCCTATCCACCTCCAGCCCCCCATCTCTTCCGTGACCCCCCCCCGTGGTCTCCCCGTCTTGCCCGCGGCCCCCTTGTCTCCAGCCTACCCATCTCCAGCCCCCCCATCTCCACCGTGGCCCCATTTCCAGCTCCCCTATGGCCCCCATCGCCTCCACGGCCCCCCTGTCTCCAGCCTACCCATCTCCAGCCCCCCGTCTCACCCACAGCCCCCCGTCTTCAGCACCCCCATCACCAACCTCCCTGTATCCCCTGCAGCCCCCCTATCTACAGCTCCCCATCTTCAGCCCCCTATCTTCCCCACTGCATCCTTGTCTCCAGCCCCCCATCTCATAAGCTGCCCCCCCATCTTTCTTTCAGGATCAAGCACCCCAACATTGTGGCTTTGGATGACATTTACGAGAGTGGGGGTCACCTCTACCTCATCATGCAGCTGTGAGTGGGGAAAGGGGGCTCCCTGGCTGGCAGAGCAGGGAGGGGATGCGCTTGTGTTGGTGCTGGAGACAGCTGTGGTGGGGGCTAATCCGTGACACATGCATGTCCCACTGCCAGGGCGGGGGCTAGTCCCTGACATACACGTCCCACGGCTGGGGCTGGGGCAGGGGCTAGTCCCTGACACACGCACGTCCCACGGCTGGGGCGGGGCCTAGTCCCTGACATACACGTCCCACGGCTGAGGCGGGGCCTAGTCCCTGACATACACGTCCTGGGGCTGGGGCAGGGGCTAGTCCCTGACATACAAGTCCCACGGCTGGGGCTGGGGCAGGGGCAGGGGCTAGTCCCTGACACACACATGTCCCACGGCTGGGGCGGGGCCTAGTCCCTGACATACATGTCCCATGGCTGGGGCGGGGGCTAGTCCCTGACATACGCGCGTCCCACGGCTGGGGCGGGGGCTGACCCGGAGCTCTCCCTGCCACCCGCAGCGTCTCAGGCGGGGAGCTCTTTGATCGGATTGTGGAGAAGGGGTTCTACACGGAGCGGGACGCCAGCCAGCTGATCCGGCAGATCCTGGACGCCGTGCGGTACCTGCACGACATGGGCATTGTGCACCGGGACCTGAAGGTGAGCCAGCGTCTGCCCGCATGGCACTGCTAAACGCAGGCAGTTGAGTCACCAAAGCATCGCTGGCAAGTGCCTGCACCAGATCTGCCAAGGCGTCACCAAAGGCCTGTCCCAGAGCCTGTGTGGGGGAGGCTGAGCCGCAGGCCAGGGCTGATGTGCCTTCCACACCCGGCACCAGCTCTGCCTCCCTCCCCCGGGGCGGGCACAGCGGGGTCTCCCCAGTCTCTGTGCGGGTTGAGTGAGGCTCGTGTTCCAGCTGCGCGGTGCCTGGGGGCGGCTGCTGTGTCCTGCAGGGAGGGGTCTGCGAGTGCCCTGGCCCTGCTGGCAGCTGGCTGCGTTGTTGGCCCCACGCTCGCTCGGCAGCGCGGGTGCGAAGGGCGGCCCAAAGGGCTGGGGAGGGGAGCCGCCTGGCAGGCCGGGAGCCCCCGGGACAAGGGATCTGTTTGCAGGCGCTGTGTCCCGGCTGCCCAGTGGAACAGGCCAGGGACTGCTGCCGGAGAGTTTTATGGCGGTTGCCTGTAGTGGTTTCCAGACAGCACAAGGGCGTGTGGAGCTGCCTTCACAGCGATCCGGGGCCCGTCTCGTCAGTCTGGACTTTCCGAAATACCCTGGCTTGCGTTTGTCCCGGGGTGCCCTGCAGGGCGTGTTGGTTTCTCTGCAGACGCCAGAGGTGCCAGCCATGGGCAAGCAGCAGCCGATTCGTCTCCCAGGGGCGGGCCGGGCTCAGTGCTCACGAGGCTGGTTTGGGCTCCAGGTGGCGCAGGGAGCTGCGCCGGTCGGGAAGGTTGCCCAGCGCTCGCTCCTGATTTCCGTGGCGTGTAACTTTGCCAGGCTGCTCCTATCCCAGCCCCTTCCCAGGTCGCGGGCTGCCTCCAGCAGAATGGCCCAGCCGCTCCCGAGAACGAGCTGCGGGCAGCAGGTGCCTCGCGCAGCCTGGGCGCTGGGACGGGAACTTACGCAGCCTGGTGCTCTGGGGCCAAGGGGGCTCTGCCCGTCTCGGGAGCCCGGCCCAAGTGTGCTGTGTTCTGAGCCGCAGAAGAGTTCTGGTCTCGCGAGCTCAGCGAGACAGCGAGTGTCTGTGAAATTCCCCAAAGCTCCCATTTGCACTGCGCGTGCTCCAGCCCCTCCCACACCCTCCCTGTGCCTCTTCCCCGACCCCAGAGCGCCCGAGTGCCCGGTGCTGGGCAGAGGGGCTGAGCAGGATGGCCCCTGCCATATTCCTCCCGCAGCCTGGGCCCGGGCCCTACACTGCTGGCCTGGGGACTCAGCGCCCCCTGCTGGAGCCTGGGCAGGCTGACTCGACTGCCTGGGAGGGGAGGAGACTGGAGGGCTAGGAGCAGGGCTAATGTGGGACAGAAGGCTGGTAGGGATGGGAACAAATGGGGCAGGCGGGGATTGTGGCAGGGGACCAGGGCAGGAGGTGAGGTCATGGGGCAGGAACTGGCGGGGGCGGCTGGGATCGTGGCAGGGGCAGGAGGTGAGGCCATGGGGCAGGGCCGGGGCATGGGGGCAGCTGAGATCGTGGTAGGGCAGGAGGTGAGGCCATGGGGCAGGGCCAGGACGTGGGGGCGGCTGGGATCATGGCAGGGCCGGGACGTGAGGGCAGGCAGGAAATGTGCTGTGTGGGGCGCACAGGACAGGCCCTGTCATGCTTGGGGAAGGATGTGGGGGGAAGGGCGGGGCCTGGGCTGGGGTGGGCTGTGGGGCTAGAGCCACCCGAGCCCTGGCTGACCCCCTGGCTCGGTGCAGCCCGAGAACCTGCTCTATTACAGCCCGGACCCGGACTCCAAGATCATGATCAGCGACTTCGGCCTGTCGAAGATCGAGGGCTCTGGCAGCGTCATGTCCACGGCCTGCGGGACCCCTGGCTACGTGGGTGAGTGACGGCGGGGGGCAGGGAGCCTGCCCCGCCTG